GTCACGGCACATGCCTGGGTTTTGGGCTTGATCCCCAGGGGGGGGGGGGGGTGCAGGAGGCAGCGGATCAATGATTCTCTCTCATCTTTGATGTTTCTCTCCCTCTCCCTTCCTCTCTGAAATCAATAAAAACATATTAAATATAAATGATATTTTATTTTTAGCACAGTTTTAAATTCCCAGCATAGCTGAGCAAAGTACACAGAGTTCCACACACTCTCCCTCCCACCTCATTATGGTTTCCCTTATGACAGTTACATGCTGCATGACTTTTTTTGCTTTAACCACAAACCACATACGGGAGAGTTTCTATGAACCAGGGTTTCTTGACCTTAGCACTGTTGAGATTGTGTCAGATAATTCTTTGTTGTGGGGTTGCCCTGTGCCTGGTAGGATGTTTAGCAGCATCCTAGACCACACCCACCAAATTCCAGTAGCACCTTCTCCAGGTGTGATAAACAACGTTTCCACAGATTGCCAAATGGCCCCAGGGGGCAAATTTGCCCCTGGCTGAGAACCGCTGTCCTGGGGCACTTGTTCTCAGCTTCGTCAGACCCAACACCCTCTTTTTATAACACATTTTGTAACACCACTTTGATAATCTGAAAGAGAGTCATAAGTAACACAACCCTTCCACACAATGTAGAAACAATACGCCCTAAGTGTAATGCAAAGGAAAACGAAATGAATTTTCAATAGGTAAATCTTTGAGAGCAACTACTCTAAAATAAAGTTTGATGCTTGTATTTCTAATAAATATGCTTAGATTTAAGAGGACTAAGAGGAGCAGAAGGTAATTCAAGAAGAACAGGGAGCCTGGCCAGGCGTGGCTCAGCGGTTGAGCTTCAGCCTGGGATCCAGGCGATCGGGATTCAATTCCTGGTCAGGGCACATGCCCGGGTTGCAGGCTCGATCAATGACTCTCTCATCATTGATGTTTCTATCTCTCTCTCTCCCTCTCCTTTCCTCTCTCTGAAATCAATAAAGATATCGTTTTTTAAAAAAAGAATAGGGAAATGAAAGCACCACCGTGCAGGGGCAGGGGCAGGGCTACAGCAAGGACAGGTAACAAGAGACCAGTCTCATTTGTGATAAGAGAAAGGGGAAAATAATCTTCATTGAAATCTATATATCATGCCAAAATAAATTAGAGACTGCTGAAGTAGAACAATAAGAAGATATGATACTTTTGTAAATGACCTGAGGTTTATTTATGAGTTTACTGTTAAAATAACTCCTGATGTAATGATGTGGGATTGGGATAGTACTGAAATGTGCCACAAAACATCTCCTGTTTCAAAATCTCACTTCATGTGAAGGCACAGTGTGAGTCCCTAGCACTCAACAAGTTGGGGATCATAATATCTTTTGGTAGAAAAAGAGGAGTGTAGAGTGGATTGGAAAGAACAAGCAGTAATATGATATTGTGGTTGGTTGGGTATATTTCTGGGAGAATTATCTGAATAAGATTTTTTAAAAAATCTAGGTAATGCTAAAATAAGTAAATAATTACAATATGCAATTTTTATATTGTATATTTCTTATGGGGGTGGGAAGAGAGTAACCAAAGAACTTATATTCATATATGCATAACCCATGGACACAGACAATAACATGGTGAAGGCCTGGGGCAGGGGTGGGTGTGGGGTAGAGGGGTCAATGGGGAAAAAGGGGGACATCTGTAATACTTTGAACAATAAAGATAAATTTAAAAAATAGAACTACAAAAATAAATAAATAAATACTTTTAAATATGACTTTATTAATACGAAGTTGTTTTAAAACAACCTTTATTAATTAAATGCAGAGATCCCTGCATTTCACTTATTGCCACTAATTAATAATGTTTTGTTCTAAGTCTTAATTTCTTAATGCATATATAGATTTATTAATACATATTTACAATCGGTTTTGTTGCTTTTGTAGTATCCACACTAGTGCAATGAGAATCTTTGAAATAAGCACATTGTTGGGAATGCTACCATATGTTATTTAGTTCTTTCCAAAGTAGAGATGAAAGTCATAATAAGGAGATTGATTAAATCATGTCGGGGGCTCAAACATAGTTTTAAATCCAAATAGCTTTCCCTGTCAATTTTGGCTAACATTCCTGATCTGCTTTAGATGGATTCAATACCCAAACTAGACAGTAAGTTCAAACTTATTCTTAAATCTGGTCATTGTGTCTGTGTCACTTAAAATAGTCTCCAAATAGAGAATCTTAAGGTTTGATTATATCAAACTGCTACAAAAATGGAAACTGGAACATCCCTACAAGAAAGGTTATTTTAA